CGTATCAAACGACGGGAAAGGAACTCGGCGTATCGAGCTTTGATCGCGTCGCAATGAGCGCTTCCGTGCACACGTTACGATCGTAAACGCTTTTTAATGGCAGTATCTACCGCTCGAGTGATTAGGAGATAATGGTCGCCAGCGGTGGGGACGTCTCGGTATACGATATATATATATATATATCTATATCTATATATATCATTGCGGTGGGATAAATGTGGCGGAAGAATCGTCGCGCAGCGGAAGTTGCGTCGCTCCGCCGTTGCTCACTCATAGCGAAGATTCTATCTCCGCAAGCCGCCATTAAGTGTTCCGGTATTTAATGTAACTCAAGTTCTTATCCGGCCTGGTCTGATTCGTTCGCCGACAAGAGATTCCTTTGACTCAATACTCCGGACGAAGGTATTTCCCGACCGACAAGACACTGCGATCAATCTTGAACGTCATATCTCTGAAGGACTACTTCATATCCCGCCCACGTCTTTCGTATCGATTTTATCCCGGACATCGTACTGACGCCTATAAATTTTAGGACACTCGGTACGTGGAAGGCGTTATTTCAGAATTATTGAAGGTCCAAAAGAGGTTAAGGTGGCCCGGGAGAGATTGCGGGGAGACCCTGTGCAACCTTTGAAGAGCACCTATTCGGCGCAGGTCTTCGAGAAATCCTTCGGCTTTCGGGGCAACAAAGGATTTAGGATAATCCCGAAATCCTCCGAGTATATATCAACGTGTATAGCGCTAAAACGGAATCACACGACAGAGCCAAAAATAAATCGATACGTACGGTTTTCGTAATTGATACTATTATAATCCGGAACGCGATGAAAATAAACATCAACTGTTTTTTCTGCCGTACCGCAAAATTGATACATCATCTTTACGTTTCGCACAGAATATGCTGGGGAAGAATCTATTAGATCCTGGAAATTCATGTATTATTCATGTGACAATGTACATTGTTTCAGATAGGCGTGCAAGCATTATGAATTTATGAATACAGCTTTTATACGGCAACAATTACGAAGTTATGATATTTAAACGAATGCCGTGCGTTAACACGTCACAATCAATATTACTAATTATTGTGTAGTAATGTGTTTAAAAATTTTAAACGCAATTCATAATTTTTGCAATTAAAAATTCATGAGACAATTACGAAAAAGAAAAAAACAACGTTTGAATCAAAATTACAATTCAAGCTCGACTAGAACGGTTTGGCAATTTTTCAACAACAATTCACTGTCTGTGTCGCATTTCGTTTTTCGCCAAATGAAAACTATCCGAATACGCAATTTATTGATGATCTCTCTAGTCCAGCGGTTACTCATGTTCGCGCTATTCTGAATCAAAATTGCAAATTACAGTTCAAGCACTCATCGAACCCAGCTCGACATTTTTTCAGTAACCGATTCTTCCTCTGTATTCGCGTTTCATTTTTCAGCAATTGAAAACTAATCGAATTCACGATTTATCGATTATCTCTCGAACTTTTATGGTTACTTGCGCTCGCCGTTTGAAACGTATTTCAAAAACGTGGAAAAGAATTTGTAAGCAATGTATTAAATAACATTACGGGAATGCAATCATCGTGAGTGTAGAAAAACAACGCTGACATGCGCACGTTGGTCGTCTCTCGAATAAGTAACTGAAAGTAATACACACACTTTGATACGCGCAAGTTTTTACAGCATGTTTTCCGCATTAGCGAACCTCGGCGCAATATGAAAAACAAAAGATGCTGTAGACAGTACGTGCTGTCGACACGCGAATTCATTTCCGACGAACTCAACTCTCGCTCTTCCTCCCACCCATCCTCCCCTCCCACCGCCACCCCTCACTCAATTCCCGCGAGAACGTCCCTAAAATAATCCCGAGCGCAAAACGTGTCGTTATAAAAATTCCATCGTCCCTCCTCGCAGTAGCAGTGGCACGAGGAGAATTTTGTGTTCCTCCATGCCCGACCCGTTTTTCTCCTTTTCTACTTGCACTCGTGCGCCCGCGTCATCATTCCCACCGTCACGCGTTAAGCGCGCGGATCCGCCCGCCTCTCGTGTAAATCCGACTCTTCATAAATTTTTCATCGAACTTCAAGGAGGCACGTAAGCATCCGCGTTGCGTGGTTCTGACAGAGGAGCGCCTCTCGTTCTTATCGATTTCGCGCGAAACGTCTGTGCCTCGCGTCCGGACCGACCGAAGCGCGTACTTGGAATTAATTAAATTAATAAGTATGAGGCGGCGATAATGAGCAGCGGCCAACGGCGTTAATTGTGGTCCCGCGTAATGAGACGCCGACAGGTCTCGGATAAGCCGCTGTCATCGCGACGCGAAGCCGGCGTAGGAGCTGTCAACGAGAGAAGAGTATACGATAAGGCTTCAACGAGGTGGAACCTCTCGCTTATCCCAAAAGGCTATATATTGCGCGAAGCCAAACGGCCACGAACAATTAATTACTGGCAACTGTGCGCGATTCCTTACAAAGGAACTTTCGAGCGAATGAACGGTGATTCGAAGTTTACTCAACTGACTTGATCGTCTTCAACGATAGTTTCTCGTTATCGAGAAGTCGATAGATACCTAAATCTGATTGTCTATCCCTCTCCAATTTTCGGCAATGCCAAAATACAATGCAACATGTTCTGCGAATTGTCACGAATGAAGTATAAATTATAAAGGATTCTCGCATAAATCGTGCGAGTGCTTATCCGAGAGAGTGTCGTCTGACAATTTAAGCGGAATGACTGGTACTTGTCACCGCGGAGCTAAAGGACATCTGTCGGATTCTCGCATCGGATTAATGCATTTCAAACATCACATCTAATTGTAATTTGCATATTATAATACGAGAAATTAATTTAATTAAAAAAATATATATTTAACTTTTTCTATTTATATGATTCGAAACATTCGCACTTTTTAAATATCTATCTATATATTAAATAAATGTAAGAAGAAAATTATGTATAGAGTTTGACGATATTTCGGATAATTTTTGTGTAAGAGAAAATAGCGTAGAGCATGATTTACGGTGTAAGCATTACAAGTTAAAAGTCAGCCATCGAGGATGCGCCTTGGCTGCGAAAATCCGGTTGGCTTTAACGCGAAACTTGGAGCGGCCACATTCGCTTCGGGGGGTTACTGCGCCTGATTAAAATTGACCGGTGCGCAGTATCGGATAGCCGGTATGCGGCACAACGAGCCGTGCAGTCGCCGCGTTCGCGCATATTAAATCGTATACCGCGGCAGTACACGATTTAACTCCTCTCGCACAATAGATTCGTTCCGCGCGAGTTGCCGCGTCCCGTAAAATCGAACGCAATCGCTCCGAGCCGCGGAAACAATATTTCCCGCGCGGCTTCTCTCATCCGCGCTTTTTCCTACCCTATCTCTTTCCCACTCGCCTCATCGTCGACCACGGCGCGCCGCAGTTTCCCCCTTTTTACGCTTGTTCCACCACCCCCCTCCCCCTCAGCTCCTCTTTCCTTCTCTTTAACATCGCGCCAGTGGCGACGACGAGCGCTTTGAACTTTTCCAATTTTCACACGATGAGATTCAACTACGGAAGCGAATGAGACGCCGGTAGTAATGTATGAGAAACGATCCTTAGCGGCGTTTGCGGTGATGACGTTACACACCGCTTCTGCTTATTAACGAGATCTCGAAGAAAATGAAGAGACGCGCGTGACTTGTAACGTCAATAAGCGCAAAACTCTCCGTTAAAGCGGCTGATTCTATAAGAAGAAATTTTCATTCGATATTGACTAATCTACGTAAACATAGAGATCAAATTCTCGCGTATAGTAAAATATACCGTCTATCGAATCGTGGAAAATTTTGCCAGAAGATTCGCCAGAATTACCCAGAGCAAACGTTCATCAGTAATAAACGATCCATTCATGTCTGATTTCAGGATGCCGACCGCTGAGAGATACCATCGCATCGTCCATGTAGCCCAGGAGAAATTATCCCAGTTCGACACGTAGGTAAGTAGCCCGTTAAACTGACCTCGGTTCCGCGACTTCAAATTCAATTGCCGGTCTGCCACTTAACATGCCACGGGCAACGAACCGCAAATTCTTGCCGCGCAGCGCGGATGCGGTAATTCCATTACGACGTTCATAAGCACGCGGCACGAAAGAAAGATTTCCCGAGGGTACTTAGTGCCGTAACGAGTTTGCCATAGCGCGCGGCGTGTTGTTGACGACGTGAGCGTTCCACCGAAATGCCGCGCGTAGCACCAATACTTCGGGATTCGTATTTCCTCACGGTAAGCACGGCGAAGGATAATCGAGGTTTATCCAGCGTGCATTAACAATCTCCGGTGGAGCGTGTGCGTGCGGCATCATTGCAAATTAAACTCACACGTTATAATTGTGCCGGTTTCGATCTGCGCTGTTGTAAGCCCCGCGTAACATCTAGAAGACAATAATATGTATATCGGAAAACGGACTATCGGCCGCTCGTTCATTCATCCGTCCTGCGGTAAGCTTCTCACGGTCCCAGATTTACATTTTGGGGACACGCATGTACGCTTCTCGCAATTGAAATTCGATTTATCAGCGTTTGCGAATGCACTCGCGGTTAACCTTACGCGAGCGCGTTGCTGGAAGCGAGGGGGTGAATGGAATACACGCACGCTTTCACACTCAGCAATTAACTCGATTGCTGATGCTTTTGGTTTATCTATGGGCACGCGTCAATACTTGCCGTTTATAGACAAATCAATTAATTAACGTGTATGTCGTTGTTCCTTCTTTTTTTATTCTACTTTACTCAGATATGCTTTTCAGCAGTCAGCTATTCTGTACGGATATTGAATGCGATCGCTATGAAATGCATGTGAAATATAGAGAGCGTACGTACGAAAATAAGTCAAAAATAAAAGGGCATTTTCAATTGATTTAGAAATCGAAAAGTCTTTTTACCAACTACGTGAATAGACTGTTTTCAACGAATTTATAAAATTTCTGTGAATTATACGAAATCGACACACATTTGAAGTAATTCAATTTTTATTTTCCTCTTTATCTTGTTTTCGAGACTTTATCTGATTTAGGATTGAAATTAAGAGACAGTTGCAACAAATTGGATTGCATGCAAAATAGAACGGAATTAATATATCGATCATGTGGTAACATTTAACGCAAGAAAAGAACCGCAGATTAGTGATTGTAATTAAATATGTCTATAACGACGATCGTATCAATCATGATTTAATAATATGTATAGTAAATTATAATGCGGCAAATGCAATTAATTTGAAATAGCGATATCGACTCACGGTCCAGTAATCATGGGAATCGGGATTAGTTCAAATGACATACGGATTACCGCGCAAAGTAACTCTCAATTCATTATTATGTATTTAATATCTCACGTTTTACACACGCTGACGCACCGTTGCAGCTCGTCGCTTCAATATCTACACCTAATTTTCATGAAATTTCCACCGTAATGATTACTATCGTATTTTATAACATTGTACATTTTATTTGTATCTGCAAATGCAGGTGACACGCTTATAATATAACAGGAACAAAGATGTAAAAATAAAAAAATATTGCATACATAGATTAAATTTTATTTCAAAAAGTGGAGATAATCGGTAGAATCAATGCGCTTTTAATAGCAACTCTCATCGCGAACGTAATATATACATATGATATTGATTGATATTTCATTAAATCTGGCAAAATTCATCGGATGCTTCATCTTTAGCGAAATGTATCGGATATCGCGGAGCTGCTGATTGAGCAGCGAGGACGGGCTGGTTTCCATGCGATTTCAATTATTCCCGGCGCGCGGCCGAATTCGGCGCCACGTAATTGAGGGAGAAGGCCAAGGCAGGCGCCGCGTTAGAATCTTGAATCGACCGTTCCGGCTGCGCGACGGCAATTACGTCCCGATCGTCCTACACGGCGGCGACGTCCCGCTCGCGTGCGCCCACGAGTGGGCCGCTTTCTCCATTTACCTCGGCGTGTAGGTGTATCCTACCGAATGTGCCTGTCGTCTACATCCCGGTCGATTTACGGTCGAGCGAGCGAGCGAGAGAGAGAGAGCGCGAGCGCGCGCGGCGCCCCGACCAGAATTTCATTTCGCGGAGGCACATTCGGTATCCTCGGGGAGTCATTCCGGAGCCCAGCCGCGCGTCCCCCGCAACTCTCCCGGCGAATTTAAAGGATGTCCGTCATCTTGACGGATCTCACGCGCCGTCCCTCGGCGCCGTAAAGGTGGATTTAAAGGGATGTACGACTCGGCGCGGCGGGAAAGCGCGACGTAACTGTAACCATATTGTATCGACACACTACGCCGGAGTTTCGTCGCGCCACTTGTCACAGCCGCTACTCGGGAGATCTTTTCGCCACGCTCGGGAGAGAGAGACTCCGCCGTCGTAACTCCCCGCGTAGCTCCGGCTCCTCGCAATATCCATACCGTGGCTTCTTCCTTTTATTCCATCCGGATGGAACCGAGAAATTAGGTTGCATGAATTACGGAGAAGATCTAGATGTATTTTTAACATCGATAAATGGAAATATTCTATTCTTTTTCTCTCTCTTCATTTTCTCGTCAATTATTTTACTCTGGCATTTTTATTGATAATTTTATTAAATTATTATTAGAATTTTTGAACTAGGAAATAATATCATCTACGAGCAGTAATTTAAATAACTCATCAGCGCAATTTGAATCTAAAAGAATTGAAATCTCTCGATGATCAAAGAATTTATGCTTTTTTTTTTATACAAACGAAGAATTCCTCGAACATTTTATAGGAAAACCTTAATAGCTTTGCCGTGCTAATATCATGCAAAATTTTTGTCTTAGCTGGTGTATTTAAAAGGTAGATTTTTTAATTACGTCTGTCGCTCGGAACTATTGACATTACATTTATTCGAAGAAGTTCCTAATAGCAGCACAGCTCGTTAACAGACAATTCAAAAAAACATTGCAGTACCCAGATGCGCTCGAAAACTCGATCGTTAAATGGTATTAGAGGTCTGCGTGCAAGCATATTGGATAGTTAGGATTGCACACCGCCGTATTACTGTGTGAAATTATACGGAAAATCGGTCCCGTTACGTCCCTTCTCTCTCCCTGATCGCTCACGCTGACCTTAATATCTGCGCCACCAAGGTGGAAAAGAGGCCGGTTTCTATCGCGGTTCGATACTCGAATGGGCTGACGCCAACAATGGGAAGCGCAGGCCAACGACACGGCATACGACCGAGGGATTCTCGACGATATCGCGTGAATACGCCTGCGTATATCCCACGTGTGCGCTACGCCGTGAAAATGTATGCATTCTCGTAATCGGGCGAAATCGCAAAACGGGGATGCGACTCATGTGTTGCGCTCGCAACCGCGAAAGTTTCGGGCGGGCAGAAGGAAAACCGTGTGTGGCTCGGCGCGATATATGCGAGACGTTATTGCCCAGATAAGGCCATGCGGTTTTGCTCGAGTACGAGCGGTTCGCCAATATGGCCTGTATGAATATCTACCTACCTCGTCGGATACGATTACCGGCGAAAAAAAGTGGAACGTGTTCGAGAAAGGATCGAACATGTGGTTCGATTACTCACGCTGAGGAATGTGTAAATGGGGAAGAGGAAGCGGAGAGGATCGCGACGTGATTGACACATGGGCCGTGCGAGTATATTTCAAGTCCATTTTTGGAAAATAAATTACAACGGCTGCCGCGACACAATAATCGATAACGCGGAAGAAAATAATACGATTGAAATGTATAGGTTGGGCGAAAAGTGCGCATAAATATTGGAATTTCGATAAATTTGTGTTGTAATTATCGTGCGGAATATTTCGTATAAAAAGATTATTTTATCGCGATATTTGTATCGCTGCGCTACCATTGTTCGTTTAGATCTGTCAAAATCTCTCGTTCGCGTTCACGTCGCGCTAAATACGCAATGCATACGTTGCGGGATAGTACAATCAAGGGGGCAAAATCCTGAAACGCGCAAGGCTGCAGCTGAGCTTTCGGCAGCGGTTGCCAGCCACAGTTGGTACACTGATACGTACACGCGTCGATATTTGCTTCGGATTATGTCAGAACGGCGATAAAATATCGCTCGACGTGGTTTAAACGCGCCAAATGAGCCATTAATAGAAAATATCGGTGAACTCGTGTAACACGGATTCAGGGTGGAATTAATCTATTTAAATTAAAGCGGCCCCGCGGACGTACGACGCTCCGCCGGTCTCCGGGCGCCCATAAATTACTTAATTAGCCACCATCACGTATGTAGTTTGCACGAAAAAGTTAGGGTGAATAACGCATCGCATCTGGCGATCTGTTGTACTTTGTCGACTCCGGGAAGACACATGATACTTTTTTGCATCACACTTACTTTTCGCGTAATGCAACTTACGTATTTGTGTCTCACGTGGCATTCAATTTGTTATCGGGCGACTGTTTGAAAATCTTTAGAGATATCGCTCGCTATTCTACGTCACGAAAAACAGATAAATGCAACTATGATTCAACAGGACGATAATTTATCGAACATGTACGTGAGAAACGATCGGCTTGCTCTTATAAAATATGATAGGGCCGGCAAAGTGCATTGAAAGTATTATTATGGAGCTATATAATGGCGCGTCTCCCCCACGCTGTATCCACGCCAATAATAAGTGACGCAAAGTGCCCAATTGATCGCGATCTTCGCCAGTTTCGCGCGAACGAGACCACTTTTCTGAGCCAACGAAGCTGAATTAATCGTCGCTCGGCGCCTCACTTGGCGTTTCCGTCAGCGCGAGCACGACGAGCACCTCTTACGCTTTCCTTTCACGTCCGAAAGAGCAGCGATTTATCGTCCCTTATTTTCACATCAACCAGACAAAGCGAACACACGCACACAGTCAAACCTCATGTTTTTGATTCAGTTCTTGAGGAAGAGATTTCTAAAGCGTACTTGCCTGCTTCGTCGCAGCCGTACTTTTCGATCGCGAGTTCTAAATGCATATT